TTCATATGGATCGACCTTACTCAAAAAAATTTTTGAAGGAATCTGAAACCATCTAAAATGTGGAATTAAATCATGAAGAATTTGTTCCAATTCTTCAAAATGATTTGAATTCCAGTGAGATAGATCAATTTCCAATGGGGTTGACATTTTTGAAACGCCCCATTTGAGAATATAATCCCAGATATCCGATTCTTTCATTTCAAGTTCATTTATTTTTAAAAGAAAAATAATAACATCATCTTCTAATGATGAAAATTTTGGAGATTCGAAGAAAGCTTTAGGATTATCGCAAATTTCTTCTAACAAGTAGTTTCTTAAATCTTCAAAAGTTTCATGACGAAATACAACTTTAAGAATTTCAATGGGTTCATTTCTCAAGTATTCAGATTTATTACTTATCAAATAAAGTTGAAGATGGTCATTTAATTTTTGTATATTCATTTCGTCAGCTGCAATTAACAGTTTCAATATTTGTGCGACATCTAGATTATCCAAATGAACGATTCCAGTATACAAAAACTTTAAAATCAATTCAAAGATTTCCGGAGAGATATTTGGCTTTTTAAAATTAATCACACCACTCTCTTTTTTTGCCCATTCCTTTGAAAATGCGGCCTTAAAGTATGTTGACCTTGCTCCTAGAATCAATGAATGCGTGAAGAATTCTTCCATATTTTGACCTTCTCCAGCTTGAATGATTACATCATAATTGTATCCGCTAGAGAAAAGTTTTCCAATATCGTTGCATAAATCTAATGAAAAATGTTCCACCATGGTTTGAAGGTATGAGTATGTCGATCGTATCAGAAAATTCCAAAAAAATTCGGAGAAATTTTTATAGCTCATTCCGTTGAAGAATCGCGTCATGTGATATTGCCGCAGATGTATCCTTATAAGAATAATGAACCATCAAAAAGCCATTGTGCATTACGTGCATCAAACACTCTGTAAGGAAGTTTGTGAGAAAAAATGGATGGTTGTAGAATACTGAAATTAAATCTTTGGAATTTCACACGCAATGTCTAATGCAAATAGCCCAGTTGCCTTGATGAAAAAAACTTTATAAAATTGAATGAATACTCTTTGGCTCGCGTTTTCTAATCGATGAATAAAGTTTAATGGATTTTCATATCTTTGGTACATAATAATTATTTTGATTTATTATTTTGATCCATTTTAACTTTAAACTTCGTTCATGATCGGCATTTAAATCTCAATATAAATAGTTACAATAATGTTATTATAAAAAAAAGAAAAATTTATTTGTATTATTTTTTATTAAATATATAATACAAATTATCTAATATTAATATCTATTATTTGATTTATAATAATAAAATTACATTTTAAAACAAATTTTACCAAAAAAAACCGTCATATGTTAAAAATTCATGGTAACGTGTTTTTTTTTTTTTTTTTTTTTTGACCCGAAAGTTTTGTGATGCGTTGTAAGTCTTCCTCATATAAAAAAAAAAATTGACAAATAGATGCAACTATGACGACGGTTATATTTAAAATGATCTTTCATTTCGTAGTTTTTAATTCACATAAAAGATGATAAGTTTTATAAAAGTTTTTCGGCCCTGAAAACATAATTGTATTGTTTATCAAAGACTATCCTAAACTGGTTAATAATAGGGGGTAATTTAATTCAATTACCAAAAAAAAAAAAAAAACTCTCTTTCAAAACAAACCAATGTCCAAAATGTCCAACGAAGCCACTGAAACCGCCACTGAAACCACTGGTTATTACGAAAGATTATTTGAAACTGGTGAAGGATATGATGTTATAATCTATGCCGGACAAAATGAAAGAGTTAGGGAAATACGCGCGCACTCGAGTATTTTATGTTCTAGATCACAATATTTTCGCACAGCGTTCTCAAAGGAATGGGCTGAGAAAAAGGATGGAAAGTTTATCTTTAAAAAACCCGCTATTTCTCCCTTGTTATTTGAAATCATTATCAAATACATTTATTGCGAAAAAATTGATTTGACAGTATTAAAAGATCATGATGTACTACACCTCCTGTTGATGGTCGATGAACTCGAGGTACAAAATTTAATTTCTCGCATCAAAGAATACCTGATTCAGCAAATCCCATGGAAACTATTGAAACGGTCTATCAATATGAGCCGTTCACCGAACTTTGTAACGCTTTTCTAGAAAGATTGTCAAGATCCTGAATTAATATTTGATTCGGATAAATTTCTTAAATTAAAAGCACCTATCATGGAATTGCTTTTAAAACAAGATTTTGAATTGGACCAAGTATTTATCTGGGATAGTTTGATTAAATGGGGTCTGGCACAAGAACCTACTATTTCACATGATGTTTCTAAATGGAACGAGGAGGAATTCACGATCATGGAGAGGATTCTCAATGGATTTATTCCATTAATTAGATTCTTATATATCACACCAGAAAATTTTCTCGATAAGATCTATCCATTTAAAAATTTGCTGCCATATGATTTGTTGAAGAACATCCTGACATTTCATATGGTTCCAAATAGGAAATTATATGTTGATTTGTTGCCTCCAAGAAAAAAGTATGGTTCAATTATAATTAAACCTCAACATTTTCCCTATTTTCCAAATGGGTTTATTGGAGAGGCAATTCGCAAAATAACATTCCTTATGATTTCAAATTGCTCTATCGTGTCAGTAGAGATGGAAAGGAAACAAAAGTTCTTTCATAATAAATGTGATGGAAAGGGGGCTACTATTTTTGTCGCGAAAATCAAAGATCCAATCATGTCGTTGGAGGTTATAATCCATTAGATTGGTATGAAGAAGGTTATAGATACACTTCGAAGAGTTTTATATTTTCCTTTAAAGATTGTAGAGATATCAAAACGGTTAGGCTAGGTAGAATAATGAAGGGATGTGAAAAACATGCAACTCAAGATCTATCTTTCATCAGATTCATTTCCAAAAAAAAAAAATAATAACTCTTCCAGAAATCAAAAATAATGAATATCGTAATTCAATTTTTTCACTCGCAACAAAGAAGGGCACCGATAACTACAATAAAAGTTAATAAATTTATTGTTTGTTATGGGACAGAGTCTACAAGCATCAAATAAAAAATTCCTGACGCGATTTTTAAATCTAAAATCATTTAATCACAAATACATTCATTCTTAGATGAGGTATAAGTAATGCGGACCAATTGTTTTTCACCTTTACACATGTAATTTATAATATATCTGAATAAAATTTAAAGATATATTTTCCATCTGCATCATTACATGCTTTAATTCGATTTCAAGTTCCTTCTCTAATTACATTAAATAAATTGTCAATAATTTATTTCTGCGCCAACAAACAATTAGAATGCCAAGAACACAACTCAAGAAGGTGTGAGTTTTCAAGTTAAGAAAGTGTATTTCAGGTCATTATCCTGATCTGCATCAAAGTAAAAAAAAAGACGCGACGTTTCCATTATAACAAAAGTTTATAAATTAGATAAAATGGTGTCAAATACTAGCGTTGCTAAAAATGAAGAAAATTACTTCAGACGTGGTGGAAATTATCAAAAGCGAGAAAAAGTTGCGAGGGATATCAAGTAGGAAAGAATTAAAAAGGACATGAAAAGAGAATAGAATTATGATAAAGGAACCAAATAAATATCAATTACGTTAAATTACGGATATCCCTAAACACTACAGATGTGGAACTTGAATTAATGCTCATACTGTATGTTCTGAATCATTACTATGAAAAAGGGAAAATGAGATTTGTTGGTTTTTTTTTTAATAATATATTGATATAAAATATTTAATAAAATAATTGGAAAATATGCGTTTATGGAAGAATGCCTTAAAAGATATTATTAAATTTAAAGTAACGCTATCATATGTAAAGATCAAAAACGTAACGTCATCTATTCCAATTATTTCAAAGGATACAAGTTTCTCAAAAGATCGGCTTTCAACTCTTCATTAGGAAGAATTGATCTGACATAATTGAAAATTTTTCCTGCCAAGCAGGCCTTGTGCAAATCCCGCGGATCAAATTGAGGAGTTTTGATCAACTTTTTATACATCTGTTTTAATTGTCTAGTCTCATTTTCCGTGCGACAATTCATAAAGCCATAATCCGCCCAAACAGAATTTTGGAGACCTACGGATTCGCTCAGCACGTATTGTTTGAGATAATAGACGCTCTTTTTTGGCTGTTGGTGTGCTTGAATTTCTATTTTGTTTTCTGATAGCCAACTGCAGCTACCACATTTTCTTTTCAACAAGTCCACTACTGTTCCAGACACGTAAGCATCATTGAATTCATCGACCTTGCAGCCCTCTTGAACGATAAGTTTCCGATACAGTTTAGACAACCGTATTTCTTCTTCTTCTTCTAAGTGATCTTTACCAACTTTACAAGAACTAAACCCAAAGTCAATCCAACATTGTTGTTCAACCCTTGGTATACATCCTATGAGCGTTATTAAGTATAAAACAATAACGTTACGCTTTGATTCTGAAAAAGATTCGAAGGAAAGTGATTGATCGTGTACGGAAAGATAGGGTTTGACCATTGTATAATACTTATCCATTAAAGTTTTATCAGATTTTTCGCCTTCATATTTATGCAGACCCTGTAACAAATTTTCATTTTCTAAGAACCATTGGTAGTATCCGCTAGTTACGCCGGCATCATTATAAGCCTTTTTGATGCCAAGTGACAACTCGCCATTTTCCCACCAAGAATGAATTTGAGATGCACTACAACCTATAATTTTTATAAGGCCAATATACAAGCCTAGAAGCATCGATTTTTCCCGAGGATTCTTACAGTTGTTAAAGCCATATTCATGTAGCACCGCTGGCTTCGTGGGCACCAGGTCGGCATAAGCACTTTTAACAAGGTCGTCCGCAGATCTCGGAGGGCAGTCAAGCACATGATTGACATAATCTTTCTTTTGACATTCCTTGCTACAGTAATACCTAGCTTTACATCTGGAACAACAAGAATTTGTGGGTTTTTTACATAGACTACATTCCATTTTTATAATATTCCAAACGAAGAATCAAATGAGAAAAAATGATTGACGATTTTGTTCAAACATGCTATTTATGAGAGAAATATTATGCAATTATTAGGTAATGGCAAAACAACAAGTCACGAGACAAGTAACAAAAATGTCCCTTGGGATTTCATGATCGTCGTGACCAAAAAAATAAATATATATAATTGATCTTATTGAATCCGAAAAAAACCGTGTTTGAATGAAGTTGACTTACATTAAAGAATTAAAGAAATAATTAAATATATAAGAATATTTTTACCTACATAAGTAAGAAGTGCAGCCAGCTTTAATTTTTTTTTTCACAAAAAAGTACAAATATTGATTTTTGATTTTTATCAAATTTGGCAAGAAAGTATACAATAATATAAAAAATACTAAATATTTGTGATTTTGTGATTTACATCGAGATATATTGGATTTTAGTTACGTTTATTGGTAAATGGAAAATCGGTACGGTACTGACTAAATGATATCGTTACCGTACCGATTTCCAAATTCTGTACCTATAATGTTGATCATTTAAAAATAATTGCATGTGCTAACCACCAACTTACCTAGCATAAGACAAAGAACTAAACCGGTTTGTTCGTAGTTGAGAAACTTCTGTGAGGCAAAGCAATTATGTATGTTTCTTGATAGACAATTGTGAAACCCGAATTCGGTATGTTTAATAGATATTTTTAAGAAACCTGAATCGGTATTACCGTGACCGATAAAAAATTTGAAATTGAGAAAAAAAAAAATAATATTTGGCTAAATAAAACTTTGCCAAAATTGTTAAATAAAGATTAAGATCTAACTTCTAAATTCGGTGTGTATAATTTTGAAAAAAAAAGAACCGTTTCAGGAAATCAAATTTGAGTCTCTAACAAGAAACATACCGAATTCGCATTTCACTATCAAGAAGCATATCGCGATCAATTTTTGCCTCATTTGGAGGCATCATCCAAATAAGTTTACATCCTGGATCGTCAGAGTTATTGTTTCCGAATATGTTCATCAAACCTAGAAAATAAAAAAAAAAAAAAAAAATAATTAAAAACTTTTGCTTTATAACGAGTCAATCATATACTTATAACGAAAATTATTTTTTTTTGTCTCAGTGACGTGATTTGAAACCAATGACTCAAACGTTTCCAAATTGTTCGAGTATCGAAGTTATTCAACTGATAATAAATGACATTCCTCCTTTAATAAATGGAAAAGCGTGGGTGAAGGCACTCGCGTTCACACCGACAGAGATCAAATTTACGTACCAAGTTCAGCCAAACAGCCGAATCCTTGAGGCGGTGGATCCCGAAAAGCTTTTAATCGCTGATTTCCGGAATTTATATTTTGAAGATCAACAACATTCGTCAACCTATATCACCAAAATTCTTACCGAAGGCATCCTCATCAACGAAAAACGTTATAATTACCTCGGACAAAGTAATAATCAAATGAAACAGCATAAATGTCTATTGCTTCAGGCGGAGCATCAAGAGATCCAACAATTCCTCAATAAATTCGGTGACTGGTCCAGCTTTACTAGCGTCAGCAAGTTATCCAAAAGAATAGGTCTATTGTTTTCAACTGGTGAAAAGGTGTTTGATTTACCCTCCGAAAATTACAAAGTAATTGATGACGTGGAAAGAAACGGCTTATGCTTTACTGATGGGTGTGGCCTCGCTTCTAAAGCCATCATTATAGAAGTGGTGAAAAAGATGAACCTGAAATTTCGTGAAAAACGCTATCCAAGCGTCATTCAGATCCGTTATCAAGGGTTCAAGGGAATATTATTGTACGAGAAAGATTTAAGAGGTATGACGTGTCATTTTCGAAAATCAATGCACAAATTCACTTGCAACGGTCCAAATGATTTTTATGTCGTGGATTATTCCAAACCGTACACGTTCGGACGACTTAACACTCAAATAGTCATGCTTCTATCTTCTCTTGGAGTTCCCGATGATGCATTCTTGCATAAACAGGTCCAGTACTTTTCCCGTTTGGATTCAATGTTTACGGAATTGTCCATCGCACTTGAAGATATCTTGAACGCGGAGAATGTTGCTCTCGCGTGCGACCTAATCGAAAACGGTTTTACGGAAAAAGTACTTCAATACGTAAATAAATTGTACAAGCACGAGATGGGAACCTCCTTGAAGGTCAAGAAAGGTCGTCTCGGTGCCGTTGAATCGGAAAAATTACGAATCTTAGTGAAGGATTCCCGAATTGCGTTCGTGGCCTCGGATCCTACTAATAAGTTGCAGAAGAACCAGTGCTTCTTTAGACCAACCATTCGAAACCAACCGAAAACCATTGTCGGGCCTATTTTTTGCGTTCGCAATCCATGTTATCATCCCGGTGATATATTGGTCCTACAGGCGGTGAATCTTCCTGAATGTGAGCAGATTGTCGATGTACTGTTGTTTTCCGTGAACGGAGAAGTTCCCACTGCCCACCGATCTGCTGGGGGTGATCTAGATGGTGACAAGTTTTTTGTATGTTGGGATCCGGAACTCATGCCTCGGGAGACCGTTGAATCGTACGATTATCCTGGACACGAGGAAATCGCCTGTCAAAACATCGAACGAACCGACTTAATCAGGAATTTTGCTAGCTATTCCAACGTTGGCATCGCTCAATGTGTTGAATTATTTATGAAATGGGCTGACGCAAAAGGACCTCGATGCGAGGAATGCGTCCAAATCAATGAATTTTTTTCACATGCCGTAGATGGGCAACCTGTAAAGATCCCTGATTTTCTGGCATTGCCTCCCGAAGTTGATATTCAAGTTAGAAAAGATCGAATATGGAATAAGCTCGTTACTATAGCGGAGGAGAGACGAGCAAGCAAATTGGCAAATAAAACAAATCTAGCTATTCAAGCTGAAGATCCACAAAAAAAAATGAATAATTGAAATAAACCATACGAAAAGAAAAAAACGATTTGATGTAAAGATTTTTCGTGTAAATTAAAGATTTAATTATTATTTCGAAAAATAAAGCTTTTGATTATGTATAAAAAATTTATGTCAAAGTTCAACTTTTATTTTTTAACTCCGGATTTTTTTTTTTTTTTTTTGAAATCACCATTAGTAATTGTATGAAGTTTTCGGCAGATACCAAAGAATGAAGAGAATATTATGGGGTCTTTATTTATCCTTTTTTTTCTTTTATTAGGTTGATTTACGATTCTTGAATTATAACTTAAAAAATTAGTTCATATCACTAAGGAAAACGTAAACTGTATTTTTTTCTTTAAAATATTTAAATAACCTTCTATAAAGATGAATGTTTCAAACAATATAAAATAATTTAATCTTTTTTATTACTTATAAGATGAATGGTATTGAAATAAATGTATTAGTTTTGTAAAATTTTTTTGTCATTTTACTTTACGCATATTTTTTATACCCAAGAATCCCTTATTTATGTCTTCGCCAGATATATCGAGCACTTGGATATGCTTAATTGGAAGATCTTACCAATATTTGCTCATTTTGTCAATTTCTTCATGTTTATAAATAAGGGCAAGTTTGTATTGGGAGTAATTTTGTCCTTGTTCGGCAGATTTGTTATACCATTAAATTGCTTTATCTATATCTTTATCAATTCTAATTTCCATTCTAATACTTTAAAGCAAGTTCGATTTAAATGTATTAATTTCCTTGTTCCGCACACTTGTCAAACCAATAAATTGCTTTATAAATTTCACCGCCATATTCATATACAAGTGCAAGTTTATATTGAGCAATTTGAAATCCTTTATCAGCAGATCTTTCATATCGATAACTGCATGTCTTCTTCAACTTCAATTCCATGTTCATACATTGGGCAAGTTAGCATTGAGTTCTTCCATTTTCCAAGTTTGAAATAATTCCAATGCCTTTTCCTGATCTGTACTAGTTCCAATCCCATTATGATAGCAATATCCTAACATCGTTATTTCGACAAAAGCAGTGATGTTCATTTTCCATGTCCAATCATTTTGAGAATGTCCCACATTAAGTCCCAATGTCCCAACAATGTCCATGACAATACTGCGTCCAAGTATGCCTTCTCTAGCCGATCTTTTAAAATAATTCAAAAGCTTTTATAATTATCGATTTCAACACCTTCGCCAAAGTCCTAGGTTCTAACCCGAACTTGTCCACAATAGACGGCCACTTTAGATCTTTATCAATTCCTATCCGATTGCTGAACGAAACATCGACACGTAATTGTCCTGCAGCGTGACCTTCATCAGCACCTTTTGATATGATTAAAGGCCAATTGTTCATCTTTCATGGTACCATGTCCAAATTCATAACAAATCCCACCATATAATGTGCCAAGTGATTTCTTTCTGAGGCATTAAAAATAACGTAAATGTCTTTTCATTGTTTCCATTTGTCACGTGATAACAATTGGATATTGAGTAAAAGAAATAAAGTTTATCTTGATAGTTTGACCATCTCTTGGTAATGTTTTTGGTACCAAGGCAATATAAAATATGTTGATTCCTTATCGTTAGGTCGATCCCATCATTCATCTCCTCGAGAAGAACATTATTTAATTTGTTGACCAACTCGCTTAATAGTTTTTCAAATATAATGATCTTGTTAATAAATCGTTCGTTCTCATTTAATGTCATTGAAAATTCTATTATTTCATTGGTATTCATCTGATGAAAATTTTGCATGACATGAGATAATCTTCCATGTAATGAATTTTTATACTTGAGGAAACATCAACATCATTTGACTTTTGTAGGACACTTGATAAACCAATGTTGTTTCTAATCTTCCGTGATGATATTTGCGTCTAAAATCATTGATTTTAACCTCGTAGCTACTTGATTCATGGTTGGGCGATTATCCGGTTCATTATCCCAACACTCTACATGATAACGGTTATGAGTGACAGATCTCACTTTTTTAAACTTTAAATTAAATGATATATTTACCGGTGTAAATTCTTGGGTGTACGAATGGTTATTTCTAAAAGACCCTGTGAAATTTCCAGAGCCAAATCATCATTGTATGATTCAGCATCAGTATAGAAAGGAGGACGACCACTTGATATCAATAAAAGTATTCCAAAAATGTAAACATCGCTCTGATCGTTTAGCCTGGATGATTGCTTTGAATTATTATTTTCGTCTATAAACATACTTGGATGAATATAAGGAACTACACCGAACACTTTTGAATGTTGCTTTGTGGAGACTTCGATTCCTTCATTGCGTTAGACATAATACAGCGCAAGCCAGCTGGTATGCTAAACTGAATTTGCCTTTCCAAGCTTATCAAAAATTTTTCTTCAAATATGATTGAAGGATGCCACCATCCGCATATTCCATCACCAGTCAATATTCCTTCGGCCTGATTATCTAATCAAAAAAAAAATTGAATTATTATTATTATTATTTTAAATTATTTCGTCAATAATAATGAAACATCATCCTTTTATACCTCGATTGTAAGTTATCACCCCATAAAAACGAATGATGATATTATGAAAATCAACCTTCGAGCTGAATTTATAAATATAATAATAGACTTTATTAGCCAAGTGATTTCATATTAGATAAACCGAAATTCACGCATTTCATACACCTTGAATGTAAATTTACCTCATGAACGATTTCTTTTAATATCAAGATTAGAAAAGGATTTTTAACGCGAAAGCTTCCGATTTTTTTCACAGCACCGTGTGACCTAATTCCGATCTTTTGAAAAGCGCTAAAATGTTCGCTTTCATAACGTTTAATATGCCTCTTACTAACCAACTAATTAAACATGACTGAATTTCAAATCCTGATTTAAATGCGTTTCGTATTTCCGTATTGGGCATGGCGCCGAATGGAAAGGGGGAAACTTTTTCTGCCTAACCAAATACAGGTCCGCAATCTGCATCACATTTTGGATTTTCCAATTTGCGGAAAGTTATGAAAGGAAAAAAAAAGACGATTTTGACGATCTTTTTCATCGAAAAAAAAAACCCGAGAATGAAATGGGTATATAGCAAACCTGTACAGTACGGTTAGCTATATATGTATTGTATGGTTTTTTTCATATATGTACAGTATTAGAAACCATACAAGTATAGACTACTTGTTATGAAAAAACCATACATGTATAGTTTTTAAAGCATACTGTACAGGTTTGTGTAATACCCGAATGAAATTAAAGATAATGTTGCATTAATTAAATATAAAAGGATTGTCCTCTTAAGGAATGTATGCAGTTCAACTTGTATTAAAAAATTACTAGAATTATAAGTCACCTTACGTATTCCCAAAAAAAAAAAGTAAAAAAAAAAGGTTATCATTTCATTAAAATGTTTAGTTATAATTATCGTTTAGTAATTGGATTACTTTGAAACAAAATTGCAAGTTCAAATTTTATTAAGCAAGTAATTAATTTCTTTGAACAGAATATAATAATGTTCGTCAATTAGCGTTCCCAAAGTTAAAATTTTTACACAAAGCCTTGGATAATTATTTATATCTACGTCAATTTGATAAAAAAAAGGACAAAAGGGGTCCAAAAAGAAATAAGCAAATTGTGCAGGAGGGGTAATGAAAATTCATATATAATATGGGAAAAACTCGACATAAAATTGAAAAGCTTTCTTATACATATACCCATTTTCCTCATTTGTAACGGTAGCAATCAACTCCATTTGACCAAAATGCATTGAAATACATAGAGGGATGCCCAAGGAATTATCGAATAATTGAACGTTAACTTCGCCTAAATATACCATTTCAGGTTCGTCACAATATACTGCACCATTTTTTTTCGTACAGTAGATTTCAATATCCATAATATCTTGGCCAGGTATTGAGAATATTTTATGCCTAAATTTTTGTTCCATAAATACTTCATCACCTTTCGTTGCTATTGATTGAAATACGTATATTAACCCTCGCGTATTACGTGATGGCGGGTCACCTTGTTTCTATAAAAAAGAATAGCATTATTATTTATTTAATAGCTTTTATATGAAAAAATTGTATTTGAAATCATGTACCCAATCACGGTGGTTTTTTACACCGTACGTCCATTTTAATATTCGCGATTGTACAACATTCATATTAAGCCCATATTTGCATGCACCGCTAAATTAAATTATTTTGAAGTACATCTTAACAAATGAACAAGTAATAATAATAATAATAATAACATAATGAAAACTTACTTAAGGATTGATAATTCAGGAGAAATTGGAACTGAAGGATAAAATTTAGTCAATTTTAATAAAATCAGTATTTATGAATTAAATCTGAGTCCTACGAGATTTACCCACCTATAAAATTATCCACTCTACCCTTAATAGCTCGTTTGATTCTTTTTTGAAGATATAAAGATTCACTAAATCCTCCAACTAAAAATATAGCAGAAAGATCCACAACGCTACTTAATTGAGCTTCAATTAACTCAATAATCTCGTCTATAACTGGATCAAAGAATGAAAGAACGGTATCAAATTCTAATTTAAACGACCATTTGTCGGATATAGTGTGTAACCTCTCTACCCCCGTAGCTTGATACACAAATTCATCACTCGTTCTTCTTAATATACTAAATTGATAAGGTTTGTAACTAGCCTTTTCACCGGTAAATGGAATTTTAACATTTGAGCAAAATTCTTGTATCATAAAGTGATATTGAGAAGGATGATTTACTTTCAGCAATTCCATCGCTGTATCCCCAATTAAGGTTTTAACGAAACTAACAAATCTTTGATCCACAAAAGTGCTACCGCAGAGAGCACCTGAAGATTCTGTTTCCTCGTAAATTTCATTTCATGCTGACAGCCTTCGTACTGTTAGGTTCACCATACCTTGTCGTTTTTGGTAATTGCGAAAAAAAATAAAATAGGCTCTTAAAATTAAGTCCAACCCAACATACCTCCACCACAATCGACTACCATATATGTTGATTTTGCTATATAATGATTAGAATGTTATTATGATGATTTATCATTAAAATTACAATAATAAACTTACGTACTTTTATTCGTGAATTGCTCTCGAAATAGTTTCATACAATGAATTG